GTATATGTATATATATATGTAATAATTTCATTTCCACCGCAGTCCCCTGAACTGCAAAGATTTTTTTACATGTTGGTGGTTGTGGGGTTAGAACCACCATGGAGTCTTACCTTAAATGGGTAGATGGCCATATTTTGAAGGCAAACAAAACTTTTCCATCGGACGTCGTGCCTTTTTTACAAAATTTATTAGTTGCAGTGAATACGTACAATGGATATTGACAATTGACAAAAAACAATATCTGCAGTGACTAAGAAATTTAAGCGTGCTCTTAGAATGCCTAGAACATTTCGCACGCGGCGGCGGCGGCAGCAGCAGCAGCAGCGGTCTAAACATACCAAAAGCATCAAAACTGGGCACGGTTAAATATTTGTCCTATTACTTCGCTAGGACGATATTTACATGTAATAACTTACGATGTATGATTCGAATAAGTTCTTTTTGTTTCGTTGTTGCGTGTAGATCACCAATAAAATAGCAGAGCATAATAAACACCGCTTATCTACTTAGTTCATTTGCAATAATATTGAAAGAACGTTTGTTTTGAAAAAATGACCGTGATGTTTCATATTGAGCATTCAGTTTGGCCATTTTGAATTCTGCCGTCGTTCATACGCTGCTAGGCAAAGCTTGAGTTAGGAGAGCTTCTTGGCGGACACCGCGAGTGCGATGTTCGGTTCACTTGACCAAATCCGTCGATGAAGGCATATGCCGTTTTAGATATTAAAAGCATAGAACAAAAAGGCACCGCATTAAGCGAACCAAAACCTCCATAGTTTAATATCGCATTATTTAGGAAACTAACAGGGAATCTGTTGCTTAACGATAAATTCATGTCGCAATTTTAGAATATAAAATCGCCTGTGGAAAAACGGTCGTATCACACTTTTTAGGCTCATTTTTATAGGACTCAACTAAGTCACCTTCATTGTTTTCCCTTACTGTACAATACTTCACTTGTTAGAAACGTTTTCTAATTATGGAGCAGGGCAGCCACATCATTTCAATATCGCAATAGTTGCACTTATTCCTGTGAGCTCACTTCAGACATGTACGGCGCAGATACCAATGGTAGCCCTGGATGGTCAAAGCCTGCCTCGATAGACCCGTTTTTCAACTGAAGTTTATTATAAACGTATTGTGCTCAACGATATTCATTATAGACAGAAAATATTAGGACATATATCTTAAAATTTACGTTATTCTAGAGATCATAATCATTTGGCCTATAGTTATCGAGTTAGCTAGATATAGGAGTACCGCGTGGAATCAAACCGGTAGCCTGCCTGTAGGGCTCGATGGTCTGTGTTTGGACCTATTTCGAGGGTTTAGGCGGCGACGATTATCGCATTATTTCCTATGCTCATGTTTCCTATGTGTAGGATTCATTTAAAATACACTCATTACTTCACTGCTTGCTATTTTCCGTCAAAGTAAGTTGTTTATGCATACGTTTATATTTCGTTTCAAGGGGGCAACGAACGCATGGACATCCTTTCTGACCAGATACCAAAGAAATGGCTGTACGAGTTACTTTCTATATCATTAATGTACATTATTGCTCCGTTTCATGCTTAGTGTATTTCTCTATAGCTTAGTATTATTACAATTTAGTTTATGTGGGTTTATTTGGATCCAAAGATATTTGTGATGAAGCGTCGTACACAGACGTCCCATGGCTACCACGTGAGGTCAAAATAAGACCTGTAACTTTGAGAATGAACTTCTTTAGTTGGTGCCAAGATATTCGCTGGATCTGTCACTAGAAGTGTGGACAGAGTGCAGTGAGTTAAGTGTACTCTAAAACATCTTCAATAATTCTTGCTACACTTAAAGGGGCGGCCTACCAATTAAATAAACGTTTTTATTTTCACGCCCGGTTTTGCCGTTAAGTATTGCTTCAGCCCGCAACTTCCCAGCATGAAACACCGTATTGCTGCCTGCATAACGAGCATCGTTTATAGAACAGAGGCTATCATTGGGGGCAACGGCACTCAGCTTTGAATAACATTGTGTTTTCTAATATTCTATTTGTTCTTATTCTAATTATTTTCTAATTTATCGCTGTATCATCGACATTTTCTTGCAAGACTAAATTAAATGGACTAACATTTCCAATTTGAAAACCGGCAACAAGGACCTCGATGCTTATTCTAGCATTTCAATCGTTTTTAGTAGTTTTTTTTTCTCATATACGAAACATATCCATTAATAATCAAACAATTAACCTATGATCAAATTTAATATAAGGAATAATAATGGAAGCGTGTGATGCAATTGATTTTTAAAAGCCATTAGGTAGCCGAAATCACGATATTCTAACAGAGTCAAAACCAGTTAAACATGCTTGTCTACAGTCTGAGCTCATTTTTCATCCTATTACTTTCTGTCTCTACCACAGTCGACTATAAGTTCAATAACAAAGCTTTTTTTACTTAGCTCAACGGTGTGTGTGTCAGGCAGCAGTTATTTCTCGGAGGAAATTCGATACTGGAAAACAATTTTTTCCTCTATTCTAAATCCATCATTTACATTTTAAAGTATAGAGTTATTTCCAACAAAAAGAGTAATATATATATATATATATGCTATGTGTTGAATTGGGTGTGAAACGGAAAGCACTTCATTCAGACCCAGGAAGGTTTTGCCAGTGGAGGCAAGCTCCTCAATAAATAAACTTATTATTCATTTGGTCTTTACTTAATTATGGCCAATAGTCAATTCAATTGCTTTGTATTTACCGTAGCCGGCACCATCTTGGGTATAAACGACGAAAATCAATTTACCGCCCTCGCTTTTCTTGATTTAAAATGTGTTAGTATAAAAGGTTATATATTTTTGGTTTAGACTTGAGATCATTTTGCATTGTTTGGTCAACACATATTAAATTTTGTAGGTGTTTTTTTATGATTTGGGCAACGTTCACAGAAATTTCGTAAATATCGCAATATCTTTCAAGTGAATGCACTCCATATATATGTAACCTATAATCAAATGCAGCGGCCTAAACGGTTGGCTTAGATTTTCACCGACTAGCTGTTGCAGTTTGTTATTAAGTTAAGTAAAAACGCAAACGTTTTTGTTTGACTATTATGTTCAAATTCATCGACATCAAACGGCTAAAACGTGGATCTCGATACGTCTATCACTTAATCAAGTAACGTGCCATTGTGCGGTTATTGGACAAGCTAGAATATGGCTGATTAACGCTAAGTGTTCATTTTCCTCCTAGCATCCTTTACGTAAGCATCACTTTGCGCGAGACGTTTTGCATGTGTTACATGTATGTCAATACATGTACGTGTATGTGGCGTGCTCTAATCTCAAGTAAGTTAACTTATATATATATACACATATATATATATATATATATATATATACAATAACCGTAATATAGGCATGTATTACTTCGAAAACCGAATATCGTCTTGCTCGCGAATCTTCAACCGCACTTCAAATACAATTATGAAGGTGAACGGGATCATTTCTGTTTGCCTCGATGTAGCTCAAAAAAATGCCTAATAGATAATATTGTCAACATATCATAAATGCCTGTATTGGAGCCCTCCCAAGGAACACATAAACACGCGAACGGTATACACGTACGTGTCACGACGCTGAAGAGAGCCCATAACGCTGGGCGCACTGATGGTACCACAGACGCTAAGAATGTAATCTTATCGTCATTTTAATATGTCAATAAAAATTTAAATCATAATGCACGTTTTCTTACGAATATTGCAGTGATTCATGACAGCACTGTAGTAACACATTGATCTTCAAACGAAGCATAAGCGCATCACGATCGACGGTTTCATGTCAATCACGAAATGAACGTTGGTATTTGAAAATATTTCAGTGGCGCATTTTTTGTTCTTTTATGATAGGTACTGTATATCTAAATTACTCGTATGAGCTTTCGAAAATAATGGTTCTATATTTGTATAGAACCATGACCAACCGTTAATGAAAGTAACAATATAAACTTAAAAATATAATCTTCTCATTGTGATATATTTATTTCATAATAACGGCATGAAATGGCAAGAGGTGTATGATAAAGTACTTTATATGACAATTCTCATAGCAACATATATGATTTATAAAGAATAAAATGAACTGGGATTAACCCAATAAGTTCTAGGATACTTGCAAATTAAGCAACTGCAATTATAGCTATACTGATTTGAAAGTAAGCTTTATTTCTAGAAAATATTATGTCTTATGAAGAAAAGTGAGAAACAAATCCTTTGAAAGTAGTTCTCTGATCTGATGTGATTTGGCACTTTTGAACAAAATGAAAAGTGCCCTTGCCCATATTTAAAATTTGCCGCCGGGTTTTAGCAGGTGCCCTCTCCCAAGAAGGGTTTCGTGTATAAGAAGCGACGGTAACCGTGTGAGGTTCCTTTTGGTGTGATTCATGATATGGTGTTGGTTGTCGTACATCGCTATGGCCAATTTAAAAGACGACAATTTGAGTAGTTGGTTTCTGGGCTTGATTAGAGTTTCCGAAATAACCTAATAATAAGTTGAAGTTGAATTTGTGTACACACAATTTGAATCCTCGGGATGGCCTACGTACACTGAGCGATGCCCAATACGAGAAGCTCACCGCGTTGTATGACCTGTCTGGTTATTCCTTATTATTATGAAACTTCGATTGATTGGTAAGACAGTGCGATTCCAAATTTACAAATGTCCTGAGTTCTTGAAAGGACTATTGTACTGTCAGTATTATTAATAGTGGATTGGCCTGACACGCCGTTATAGTTAGATCTCTAGGAATTTAAAATTGAAGCGGACAATCTACGTTACTTAAAAGGATGACTTACTTGCTACTACTGAAGTAGGATGATAACCTATGCCTGATAGTCTCCTAAAGAAATTTGGTAATTAACTCAGGTAGTGTAGAAATAAATAGTTTCTTTGAATGTTTAGGTTTAACTGGAAGGTGCTATGCTGATGTAGCTATCGATGCAGCGTGTGATCGTCGAGGTGGTAATCGTAACTGAAGACCAAAGGTAATTGTCACACGTTCTTGCGTTTCATTGTTAATTTTTTAAACTGTTTTCATGATGATATTCGAAGATAGGGACATCTGAATCCTATGATTTAATATTTGGGTAGAAGTAACACTGAATTAAACAGCGTATTTTCTAGATTTTTTAAGTCATATTATAATAATTCTATGGGAACGATTTTAGATTTAATAACCTGAAATTCCCCCATATTCAGCAAGTTGCTGCAGTACGAAGCAGTCTGGATGGATTGCTAGCTGGTACAGGATTTGGAGCGCTCTTTACAATTGTTTCTAAACACCGACCTCCGAAAGGTTCGTGTTTTTATGTTGACGTCTTCGAAATTACCTTTTGCTTGCTATAACGCTGGTCATACCGCGTGGTTGTCGATGATGATTTTCTCAGATAGGGACATATGAATCCTTTGATTTTTAAATGGGAAATAATCTGATTTCGCGCAGTGATTTTTACTCAAAAACACACATATAACCGTACGATATAGCCAACTAAGGAATCCTTGTCTGCTTGCTTTTAGTAACGTCTCCCGTTGGTGGTTGCGTGTTATCTATGTGCTCCATAGAACAGCTCCGACGAGAAGTACGCACTGAATTCATTGTTTGCCAGATATTGTTGTAATGCTTACATGATGACAACTTTATTATAGAGTACTTGCTATCTGAGGAGGGATGATAAAACAATTCTGATGTCATGTTCATGAAAGGTGATTTTCACTAGCTAATATTTTAGACATTAACTGAAATTTACGTTTGTATTTAATACTGTAGCTTCCGTAACTGCTCATTCTATCTCGTCACGTCATTGACCTGGAGTCAATCGTTGTGTACATAGTTTTAAGGTAAAGTACTTTTTTAGACGTTCCTTTTTGTTATCGTGCATTTTACTCCGTAAAAAACATATTAAGCTAAATCTCGTATTATGGGTTTATGATGAATCTTTAGTACTTGCTACTCTGAGTACAGATGAGAATTTCACAACTCTGAACTAAAACTTTTATGATGGTGAAATGCTCAAGTTTGGCTCTCTAGTTCAAAAACGATAATTTTTGTCGTTTCAGGTAATGAAGGCACCTTGAGCCAGTGTCTAAAATTAAAAACTGGCCATGTCGAAAGGTACGAGTTCCATATTTACGTTTGTGTCACTATTTTTCATGTATGATGATCTGGTGAATCTCATTGAGAAGTCGTGATATCAAAACCTGCTACAATCCATTCATAAAAACCGGCACACTGAGGAACACCCAATCCATATTCCACTTATGATGAATATGAGCATTAATCCATAATCCTCAACTACTCTGTACTTTCCAATGTAGCTGCAAGGTTGCGAAGGTCTTCAGTTCCTACAGCTCTGAATCACTGGAGGTCGAACGCCTGAGAACGGATGAACGAGAATCCAGGGGAGACTAGTACTAATAGTCGGACCTAGAACACGTAATGTGGACAATAAGGGGATACGATGAATTTTTTGCTTGCAAGAAAAGATGCATCTGAATTTGTATTGTAATATGCACATCTTATTTGCATTTCAAATCACAATATTGTTTTAGTGCGGAGCATTCTGTATGCATTGCAAGCCGACGCAAGCTTCATACTTTACAGCTGTTCCTGAATACTGATCGACCTCTAAAAGGCTGGTATGTGTTTACGTTGACAATTTCCGACGTTCGCCTAACATTTAGCAGTGCCTACATAGTGTTGCGATATGATATTATGATATCAAGAGAAAAATCCTGATATGATGAGAGAAGGATGCTTTTTGCTTGCTGCAATTAGGCGTTAATTCAAAGTTCCATTTGTGTATTGAACATTGTAGCCTTTGTGACTGCTGAATTTCTATCTCGATTTGAGGTAAATTACATGTTAATTGTTTTTTTTTACATGTTACTGCGCATCTAAATTCGTACAGAAAAAAAACGTATTAGGAGAATCTAGTTCTGCTGGATTATGATGAGGCTTGTACTTGCTACTCTGAGTACAGATGAGATTTTCACAACTCTGAACATTCTTAGAATGAAACATTTCCAGAGAAACGCTTGGGTTTGATTCCCTAGTTCAAAAAAAAATTTTGCCACTTTAGGTAATGAGGACGCTTCCAAGGAAATGGCTGAAAAGTAAAAACTGGATGTAACTGTTATCAGCGTAACGTGTGTATTTTATATATCGTCATTGAGAGGCCATGATGCCAAATCTGCCATTATCCATTGATAAAAAGCGGCACACAACTAACGCTCATCCGCAATCTTCAACTACTTTTAGTTAATTGTGCTTGCGAGGCTACAAAGAAGAGAACTCAGAGGAAACCAGTAATAAAGTTGTGCCTGCGAATAATTGCAAATCAATGGGAAATATGAATAACAAATGTTCTTGCCAGAGAATAATAAAAGATTCATCTGAATTTGTATTATAAACAAACTATTCTCATTTGCTTTAAAGGTTATGTATATCTTCAACACATAAGCAGTGTGTATGAAATTACGTTCATATACAAACACGATAGCTATTTTAGGAAGTACAGACGAAATAACGGTTATCAAGAGCATGCGCGCTCAGCTTCTCCAAGATGTAAAGCAATGAATGTTTCGAGTAATTAATCGGCACCTTGAAATTGTGAAGTGATCGCATGGTGCGGCTTGAACACAACTATTCCCTAATAAAGAGTCAAGTTAATTTGTTGAGTCAAACAAAATGTTCAGGTTTTTATGAAGCTATTCGTAACGATATGGACCCTCGTTTTACGTAAGCAATTCTACCTGATTCATAAGTCTCCCGAAGTAAAGTGTAAATATATGTTACATGTATGTATAGTTTTACCCTACATTTAAATTGTGGTAAGCCAGTAGTAGCCGCGCTACACGAAGCTTTTTACATACCAGTGTGGTCATTTTGATTCCGAATTGGTATCTGTCGATTTCTCAAGACTTTGTAAGTATTAGTCTTTTAAAATAACAAAATAATTCTAAGGATATTGGAGTTCTGAAGTCTTTTAGTGTGCTATTGTATCTACCAAAAATGCAATATTACTTTTTACAAGGTACATCGACATTATCCCATTTAGGCTGTTTTTCATGCATAGCTTATTCAAATGCGTTTAATATTATACATTTATTTAAAGGAAGTGTGACAATGGCATTTGGAGTGGTATCACTATTGTAGCACATTTTAGTGTTGCTAACTGCATGCAACCTTTGTAAATTGAGTAATTTAGATTTTTCTCGTAATTGGTTAGATTGGTGCATAGAAAATAACATTTCTCACCAATTTGAACCCACAAATTAGTTAAAAAATATCTAAACGTATAAATTCAATTCCTCATAAAATTTTTTTTCAAAGCAGTTTAAAAAAGGATACCAGTCAGGTCTGTGCTTCATCATTCTCGAGGGATGACGACCTAGTCAATTTCTGGTAGACTCTAGCTTCAACCTAAACCAATAATGTGCGCTTAAAACTATAACAATGAGTGTTGCCTGTACAGTGAAGGGTTACCCTATTTCACACCAATTTCCCAAGTCTGCCGATGTTGATTGTCATCCTGGTATATTTGTTTATACTGGTTGCACGTGTTTGCAGACGAATTTATTCTTCACCATTCCTCTACATAAATTTGCTATTGTATGGGAATCTCCGTTGTTTAGGAAGATTTCCGCTAGGTGAACCCTAGAAACCAACCAAAACATCATCATCGTACATATGCCTCTGTGATTTTATGCGTTGCCAAAAATTGCTCGATATCTTAAAGCCCGCAGCTGATTGTTCGATGTGCGAAAACGTTTGCCGGGGTCGACCCCAAGTGATATGTGTTAGCGTATACTTGAAAGCATTTTGTCGCTAGATCCAAAGGCATACAGTAATCCCTATCTGGGAATCACCGGTATAATCTGACCTAAGCTATGGCGTTCTGTGTAATATCTGAGCGCAATTTCAACCGAGTGATTTTTCACTGCTAAGTCGAATCAGTAAAATTTGGGCAAAAGTTTCATTTGAATGATAAAAACGACTACTAGGCAGAAATTCACACTCGGTTTAAGTATTATAGTCATCTTACAGTTAAAAGAAAATACGTGATTGATCTAAAACGAGTTGAAGAAGTATGTGTAAGTAGGTAACTAACAAGGTACACGATTTCCAAACGATTCCCCTTATAATAAACCAATATGTAATAATTATATATATTGCAGTCGGGTAGTAACTGTAGCCACCAAATGTACTTAGAAGGAAGTTTGAAAAGATCACGCATTACGCTAATGCTATATTCGGCAAACTGCTAACTGTGAACACTGTTTTCAACTACATATGAGTCAAAACTCGAGCTAATTGCTGCGGCCATTGCGATTTGCAGGTAAACGCAGTTTCGCCGCTCATCAATATTAAATATAATGAATGTATTTATATTGCCTCTGACGAGGACATTTACAACGAGTTGCCGAAGGACGGCTAAGCCAGGTTATTTTTTACACAAGCTGATAGAGCGCGAAAAAAATATCGAAAACAAGATTGTGGAGCAGGAAAACAATAAACTTACCACAGTTAAGAGATTGCCGCCTGAAGCGAATAGGCGTCAACGGGTAAGAAGGCACAGATCACCACCAACGCTTTTTCATCATCTACATCTATTATTCAACTATTTGCTTTTTTATTTACTTACACTTTTTGTGTGATATATGTCGTAGATAAGACTCGAACCAGCGTCTCCAGGGGCAACTAAAAGGCTTCACAAGCAGCGTCAAAATGCCGACTGTTTGGGAAAGAAGCGCGCACTGGCAAAATATGCAATTGACGCGTAGTTGAGTAGATCGACACTTGAGTTGATCTATGTGCAAAATTTTAAACGTATTTTAAGATATGGTCAAGTAATTCGTTGGGTTAAAAAACACATTTCAGACTTAAATATTTCTCCTTTTATTTATGACAGGTTCTGAACGCGCTGTACATGGAAACAATTACGGGCGTGCTTGCTTCCGAATTTGGAGAGCGCCTATCAGGTTATGGGATTACGGTGATTGAAGTTAGGATTAATTTTGAGCTCACTATTGTTAACGTTTATTGGATATGCGAAAGCGACGTATGTACAGAGAGCGGCACTGTCGAAGTTGCAGAAGCCGCTGCGACGCTAAAGGAAATTGCGCCGCAGGTAATGAACCTAGGTGACAACCCTAGCTGAATACAATACGATTATGTCGTACAGCAGTTTTTTCCAACCACTTATTTTACACATTAGTGGCTTAATAGTGTAACGGCTTTATATACTTGCATATCTGCTGTTGACGTGTAAAACAAAGACTAAGTTCAATAGCATGACGTTGTAGCCTAAGTGAGCACGCGTGCAACGAATCTTCGCTTATTAGTGTATGTGCTGCTTCAGAATGGCTGTTAGTAAATTAAGCGGCTATAAGGTTTTTGTGATGTTTTTGTTCGATACATGCCTAATATTTGAGAATTTTTTTTTAGATTCGAGCAGAGCTAACCGCCGTGCGACATATGGGCGTGATTCCAAAGATCCAATTTATCCGTTACACTGGCTTAGACAAAGGAAAAGATGTGATTTCGGTACGTTATATATTAGGGGCGGACGACCAACATCTAAAGCTATTTTAGTAGGCTAACAGCTGAACCGGATGCGAAACTAAGAAAAAATCATAGTTAAGGCAGGGAGTGGGTTATGGATTAACTACGAGTTACTTATGAGCAGAAATGTATAAATCTAGAGCTTTATTAATGTGTATATATATATATATATATATATATATATATTATCCTGTAATGATCGGAAGCACCATGTTGATTAGCCGGCCACAAGAATGGTCCAAATTCGTTTGATATACCTGACCAACAGGTCAAGTGTAGCACAGTTTGTTGCTACTATTGATCTAGCTTAGAATTTAGTGTGCAGCTAGTGAAGTCGACCTAGAAAGTAAAGTCTGCACCAGACAAATAAGATTCGTACTTCTCTGATACGTAAACAACACATTGTGACATTTGTATCTAGTTCTCTAAAACAGTTACATACGGTGTTTGCAAGCCATTAGACTTGTCGCAGTTTCTTGAACCTTCTAATCTAACCGGGTAATTTCAAATAAGTTGTGAAACCATTAGTGTAGCATATACCCGAGAAATCGTGCGTTTTTCCGTGAAGATCTAGTTGTCTATAAGGCAATCACTCAGGGAGACAATCATTAATCAACACATTCTAATAATCACTTTCTGAATGAACAACTCATTTTAGATACTGAAGGGATTACGAGCTGCTGGCGAGGTAGAAGGTGTACAACCGGCAGTTCCTGTACAAGACAATATCTCTGACGTGTATGGCCTTGACCGTACAAAAATTCTTCAAGAGCTGAAAACGAAATGTGCTTTTGCCGACGTTGATTTAGCTGGTAAGCACCTAAACAGCTGCTATATTTTTATTAGTAATAAGCGTATTCGGCCAGTTTTTGTTTCTTTTATTTGATACGTGGAGACTGTCTGACATAGTATTTTGTGAACAGGTTCTCGTGCGACAATATAATTGTATTTGAGGGTACCAAAGTAAAGTCCTTATTGTCGAAAGAAGCGCCCTAAATGAAAGCAATTGACCCTTAGAGATTTTGTGACGCCATTTACTAGTTTTTCGAAGTAGAGTAGTATTTCCCTACAGTAGTTTTTACAGTAGTATTTCGAAGTCGAAATACTACTGTAAACCTTTTTTTCTTACGAGCTGCTATAGGAATTAATGGTTCTGGAATGAAAAAATTATCTTCGATCTGTGTTCAGATATCTGAAGATTTCTTCTTGTTGATAACATGAGATCGCTTTGTTCTAGGTCGTGTAAACGTTGACATAGATCTTCAAAAGACAATTTTGAAAAAGCTTCAAATGAAAAGAGTCCAAAGAAAGAAGGAAAACGTCCTTTCGACGAAGGAAAGGGCGCGACTGGAGAGAGAGGTATACGAAGAGGTGTTTCTTAAGCGTTGAATAACTTATAAGGCGTATACGTTTATAGAAAAATAAACGAATTTTATTTCAAGTAGCTGAGTGCTTTTCTTTTTTACTTCTCCGCAAAATGTAATTCACTTGAACTTTGAACAGCACCACTAGCATTATCAAGGTAGAATTACACAGAATGTCCAAAAAAAGATCAGCCCTATGAAAGACTGATTGATGGTTGACGGTTTTGAAAAGATATGTATTTTTGCAATAATTTACATTTAAAAATCAAAGAAAAAAATTCTACACGTTGTCATGGGAGTATAATCCTGTATTTTCAAGCAGAGTATGGCCTTTTGGGATCTCAATGGAGACGAACAACTAGATCTTAAAATTGAACTTCATGTCAAAATAGAGCTGACATCACGTGGTGCACTCATTTATGTTTACATGCGTCTATAGGTATATAATTATTCATTAGAGTTTTTGTCGTATTCGCTATATCGGTCTAATTATATTTTTAGCAGTTGAAGGACACGCGTAAATGCCGTTGCTTCTACTTAAATCGCGTTATTGCCCTGGATGGAAATCAGTGATGACCTTGCAGTAGTTTTTACTTAATAAATTTAGGTAGAAAGGTACAATTGATAATTAGGCCAAATAAAAATAAAGTAGTGACTCGGAGATTCCTAGGTAACTAGCTCAGGGATATATAAAGATTGACCATTTACAGTGACGGTTTTTTCTTTACTCAATATACTCATACTATTATTGGGAACTGATTGATAAATGCGAAATGCCAGGCATCTTCCCAGTGCTACGTTTCTTCCAACTCTGCTTAGATAAAAAAAGGTATTGTAGAAATTCGACAATGAATTAAACCCTATATTGATAGTAAAGCTATTCTTCTTAGCCGTAGACGTCAGCATTGCCTTATAATATCATTAATCAAAGTTTTTTTTTTTTTAATCATTTTATCATTTTAACAAAGTGACAGTGGCATAGTAGCAATTTTTCGTCGAAAAGTCGTACTTAAATTTCAAATACGTAGACAACCAACAAAATGTATTTATTTGTTCGTATTGTGGGGCCTTGCATCACAGTAATGATGATCAGGAGACTCCTAGAACAACTAGACAGGTGTCACGTGTACCATTTGAAGAAGTTTGATTGTTAGCACTTTTCGTAGCTTTTTGTACTACTTGTCTATGCTTGAAGAAGTTTTAAACATAAATAACGGTATGAGCTGGACTAACATTTAGCGGTTCTGAGAAGGCAGAAAAGTAGAAAGAAATGGTGAACAACACCTTGTCGGCAAGAAACGCACGAAAATGAGGTTGTAGTCCCGATGTAGGTCTTTAGTGGCGAAAGAAATCCGGATAGGTACGTTTGTTCTAAATGGATACATAGGCTAATGCAAGAGTAACAATAAGCGCGTATTTAAGTTAACAGATAGGATACAACACAAAGAGCAGTGGCAAGCCATGCACGTCTCTGGCGCAGACAGTAATGACACACAAAGCTTAACATTCTTAAATGAACAAAATAATTATAATTGTACAATACAAATCTTCAAAATAAAAAGTGCAGAAAAAGTAAATCATATGAAACCATTTGAACGCGTCAATTTTATGGGCTAAGTATGTGAAATACGAAGACAATGAGATATTCGATCAATATATGAAAAAAAAAAAAAAAAAAAAGGATTTTGAAACATGTTAGAACAAATTGTGAAGTTCTAAGAAGTGGAGCATACAATTATGGATGTCTTAAATAATCTTTGTTTACAGTCAGAAAAATTAAATGAAGCAAAACAGAAACTAGCAATGTAGAAGGAATGATAGTTGCGTAATAAGTAAATTAATATACAAAGTCACTTACGATAATGTATAACAATGCAGTAGTGATTGCTTTTAGGATCGATCGTAATACACATCGACTGTGCCTTTAATCCTTTATATGTATTTTCCAGCTGTAATTGGCTAATTAACAGACGATCTAATTCGCTCACAGAATTCATCTCTATGATACGGTAATGGTGTCCATTAGATTGTTTTCGAATACCAAAACAACTTAACAAATGTTTGCAGACGTTTATACGCCTATATACAGTTACAACAATATACTGATAACCTCCTAAGGTAAGAGATAAGATTGTTCTCAAACCTCTCTCGCCGTCAGCTGACATAATCTTGATCACCTAGTTTGATAAATAGAGTATATTGTTGACCTATAAGGAAGAAAGTTTTATGTGGATTTCTATATGGGTGATCTCATACTGGCCTGTTGAGTCTGTTTTGTATCAGTGAGCAAATGCTAATCTAGAAATAATACAAGAAACCATCTTTGCTGGATTAATTTAGATGTGGGTTAAATGAGGCGAAACTTATTTTGCCAGCTTACAAAGATCATTTAAAAATGGTTAAATGTCTAATACATATATCTGTTGGTTGAAGAAAGCCTTGACAGGATCCTACATGAAAATGAAATATTAATCCATTCATATTTAAGAGTTGCCTAATCTATCAGCATCATTCTAACCTACTCTTTAGGTCATTTTTCGTTATATCTCAGTTGTAAAGTCAGTCCACACGGTAGGGGCTCGTCGCGTGAGGTCTGTCAATTGAGAAACAAGAATTGTGCTAGATAAGTGGGTGAGGGCTTTGAAGGAGTTGGCACAGTCCTGCAGTTTGTTTACGGTTAACGGGATCCTATGGACGACCACAGAGGCATCAAGTCCTGTGCTACCACTGTGTGGCCACTTCGCCACTACGCTGTCGGGCTGTGGAAAGGGACAAGCGTCGAGCGGAGTGCTCCGGAATGGAGCTGCTTCAGGAGCAGAATGCAGACGATGGCCGTGCTGGGGGCTTCACCGTCTGTGTCACTTCAGAGTGTTGCTTTGGTGTGCGACAACTGAAGCAGTAATAAACGACTGTCGCCGCAATACGGATGTAAGCAGCAATAGAGAGCAAAGAGAAAAAAATCACCGATACGAAGCCTGCATTTTCAACTCAAATCGACGATCGTATTTGGTTTGTTATCTTGTTCTACTGGAGTGAAGGGTTCGACGCATATGCACAATGACTATATCTGAACAGCGTGCGTGGATCGTCCGTTCTCATTTTGTCTGTCGAAACTAAGCAGCGTTGCCCTGAGTAGGCTTCGTGTTAACGGAAAAGAAGCAACAGATTTTTGTGCATGTCTAAACAGGGTGATGATATGATAAGATTTTAGTGCGATTTACCTACGAAAACGCTTTGAACGCTTTCAAGTTATGTATGAGAACGCCTGATTTGAAAATTAGGATATTGCACAACACCGTCAATAAAAATAAAAAAAGAGCATTCCATCGACACTAAATACATATTGTTACGGAAAAATTCTTCAGTGGATGCAAACAAACAACTGGGTTTAACGCTCCTCATTTGAATAGTTGGCAAAGAACTATCATCGAATTCAGTACGATGTGAACACTAAGCGTTAATATCCAGAAGAAAATCATGCCAAAAGTGTTTGTTTATAGCTACAAAGGATCGTGTTTCAAGTGATCGTAGCCACGGGGAATAAAGGGGCTTTAGAAGTATATTTTTTAGTGGATATTGACACCCACTGGATTGGCTGATGGTTAATTTATGTGAACTGAGTTATTAAGAGTGATCATTGAACAGTCAGAGTGTCTGCGTCGAACCAAAACAAGTAAATAGCAGAACATAAGTTGGTTAAGTGAAACCACTGGAGTACACACTCTCACGGAAAAAGAAAGAAGCAAATTCATCTTTAGCGTCTTCTGAAGCTGTCATTAGTTGACGCAGATCGATAACAATATTAATTTGTCAATCATGTACGTATATGCAGGTTTTTATTTTCGTAGAATGCAGACAAAATAACGAGTTATTTTATTTGAACGAGAGCACTTATTTAAATATCTAAAGATCGTAAAGAGCTTTCAATACCTACGTAGATTCACAGCTCAGTAAAACTTATGTATAAAGAAGGAATAGACAGCAGCACTGCAGTCCTTAGGTACTATGAGAAACCCTAGCGGATGGAGTGAAGGGCTAACTTCGTTATTAACGATATCATATTGAGCTGAACCAACGGATATCGTTGACTACGGCCATCAGCTAACTGTCGAATGGGCAAATTAACCACTCGGCGAGATTTAGACCGAAGCCCCAGCAGAGTAGGCCTTATTTCCACAGCATTCCAACTTGCGGTTCTTGCCACGAATCGTTATTAGCTATCAGAAATGGATGCCCGTCTGAAATGAGCATGTGCAGGAAACCTGACATTGACGAGAGTCGACCTCTATCTGAGTCTAAGCTGAGAATTAGCGTCTATTCAAGTCACGTTGGCAAAGCGTTCAGTGGTTTCGCGACAGATCGGGCTTCCGTATAAACCACTCAAAGATAAATATATGCATCCAAAGCTTCACGATGATGGAACAGAACGATGGAAAATAGTGTAAGCCGGTAAATGCTTTATTTCTAAAAGAAGACAGTGTTGTGAGGTTCACAAAAAATACAATACATTCTCTTAAAGAACAAAAGAATATTTGAACTAACGTAATGGCAGCATTAGACGATGTTTTGCTTTGCGCTACTACGTATACAGTGTGTTGAATTGACAAATATAACGCAGTTTCTTAAGGCTGAAGAATTTTGAAAGATTTTGTTACCAAAGACAACACAAGTTCGTCGAAAAATGTTAGGGTTGGTTTGCTGCAAGGCGAGCTAGTGTTTCAGATAAAAAAAAAACGCCATGAATCCAAGTATACAATGTATTGCTACGTGGTCTAAATCAATGAATGAAGTTTGAAGGGCCAATTCGAATTGTAAGTGAATCAGACACGGACTCTAGCTAAATTGAAGTAGATGACCTGCGTTAAAACAGGTAAGGCCTTAAACCAGAATAGAATAAAGAAACTCTTGAGATTCGATAGACTACAAGCACGGACCATGCGGATACTAACCCAGCATTGAACTTCGTAGTCAGCGAGCCAGCACATTAAAGGCAAGTCTCTACCTAAATCAAACATATCATGTTGCCCAATCGATCTAATGAAGATACCGTAAAGTTATGCTGTCCAGCTAATGCAGCGTAACGAGACTAAATAACTCTGCTAATAAAATAGGCAATTGCAATTACGTGGTGGACTCTGTTAGATAACAGAAACGCGAACTGCAGTGTGTGCGAGACATATTGAAATATATGGCTAGTCTTTTGTCACTTTGCGGCTCTCAGCTGCAAGATATGGTTAGGCTAGCACATTGTCATGGATTGTTTATAGAAGAGGAGCCACATCGACGAAGGTACGCTCGCAGTCGCATATTCTTATCTATGCATCATTAGTATTAAGCAAACGATTCCAGTTCCATTCCGTACAAAATTTGTACCTCTCCCATTTAAGTGACATTTATAAGGCGTTACAAATTTTTCTATAAGTTAGATAATGCTATTCTAGGCTCGAGCTCATGTTGACATTATAAATTAGGAATCTTATTAGCTACTGCGGAGTTCTAGTCTTGTGATATAGAACGTCGAACGCTTTAATCGGTCGTCAGGTTAAAAAAAGTGTTGATTTGATAAATCTTTCTTTGATAAAATAATTAGAGTAAATAAAAATTATTTCGTTAAATATTATAGGAATTGCAACATTCAATACGATATTGTATTCTATTCTAATACAATTAGCAAGTATCGTAACTGGTGTAGGAGGTCCAAGCAGAAAGCAAATACTTAGTTCGATCGATTGCTTCAGTACGAGAAATCTTGAACATGCGGTGACTCGGAAAGGCCCAGATCTTCATATCTGATCGAAACAGAAATAGCAAAGCTGTTTTTGCCATATTATGTTCTTCAACACTTCCAGCTCCAAATACCTAAATGAGATTTTTGGGTTAATTGGAGTTAATAAATAGTCTGGCGGGTCAACAGATAACTCAATAACAGCTTCTGTTAACATCGTGTTTTTCGAATTACATATCTTACCCTGAATTCTAACTTCAAAGGTGGTTATGCCTTGTGGCAAAAAACAGCAGTTTTAACACATGTTCGTTCGTTCGTTCGTTTTGCAGTTCTTTTGGCTGACAAAACGGAGACAGTGACCCTGTCGAATAAAATAGGTTTCCAACGGTCTATAACCTTTTTTTCACTTTTTCGTTTTACGCCTGGCATTTAGGCCGGTGCTAAGCATTACTCCAGGAGGCTAATTTTCAGCGGCAAACGAAGTTTTTCCTGCCCCGATTCGAACTGAACGAGAGTATGTAACGCCTGACAGGCAGCACACAAAACGATAGAAAAGAGAATTGCCAAACGAAGCTTTGCATTACTTTTCAGACAAGCTATTGGAATGGAAACGAGGAACTTATTCATACATATTTCCCATGATACATACCATATAGCTTGTAGCGTACGGCATTTACTATGCGAATGGAGTCAGTTAAGCTTCACTAATAATAAAATTAGCTAAATTCATACAAATCAGCTTTCTAAAAAGTGTCGGGCACGGCACGTATCAACACGATAACCTTTAGCCATGTTAAAATATCCATCAATGTAGTATACGTCGAAGCTGCGCCAAAATCGCACGCAATTCACCTAAACAGATCGAAGAGTGGCTTGAAATCTTTACTGCCTGCCGTGTCAGTAGTCACACAGCTGCCTAAAATCGAAGGCTTCAAGATAACTGTAAGCAAACGGTAAACATGTCAGCGATTTTTACTGGGCTTTATCATGTCCATATCTACCTAAAGGAAACATCTAATATTTAACTGGTTCAATAACCAATTAGTTCAGACGGTCTCATTTTTTACACCATTAGCAAAAGGAAAATAAACTTAGCACAAGTTCTGAGGTCATAGTCAAGCATGATCGATCATAGCTTGCCGAACATCCTCACTGAGTTACATAGCCTTACTTTAACGAAAGGCTAACCATTAAACTTCATGATCACCGTACCGTACATTTGAGAAGAACAAGTTTATTAGGAAAAATAAAGCCTCGTTCAATTGCTTTCCATTAACTGTATCGCATTTCCGCGTCCACCTGGCGATAGATTTCAAACTGTTTTGTTTTTCAATTATATTAAGCGTATCTCATCTATGTCTTATTTACAAAAGAATACTAGCCGCATTTACACACAGCACTTCATATGCTTGCTATTTATCAATAATATCACTTATAGTGTCACCTATATATATCATCACTTGTTTCCTCTGGAAGGCAACGATAAGACAAAATAAGAACACCAGCTATTAGTATGTGTTAATATTTTAAAAACAGCAGAGAAAAGCTGTGATCAGAAAAAGGTTGCTAAAATGACGATAAGTCTGTTCATATCAAGGTACCAATTATACTGACCGAAAGATCCAATGGCTGCGCAACAAAGCAAATAAAAGATCTTTCATGGCAAGGAAGTTTCCCCACATTTTTCTACAATGCGTCTGTCTGTCCTTGACACCTTAATATATTCATGGATCGAACGATGAATCAAATGAATAGCCTCATTTCCTCTATTGCAAATGCACTGAAAAGGCCACACTATTACACTTTAATAACGAAGTGCATGGATCGATAAGGCGTAGCGATGTAGTAGATATACAGTGTTTGCGACTGCGGATCTACACCATAAACCTTTTAACAGGACCACTTCCTTCGTCCAGTCCGCGTCGAATATTTGTTTCGTTAGTCTTGCCAGAGGCGCTGGTGAAACGAGGTCAACGTTCTGGCCTTACAAGAGAAAAAATCTCCATTCGTTTAATAGCGAAACATAACTGCGAGTGTTTGTCGAACGAAGTAGCAAAGCTGAATTTGTGTCGATTTAGTCTATATGTTTGCTCGGTGCAAAGTGACACGATTGCAAATGGGCATGTGATATCGTATAGCAATTGGATAGCATCTTCAGCCAACGTGAAAAGCTATTTTAACAACAAAAAGCAAAGCCTGTTGGTCTCAAGCAAGGATCTTATTCCTAGCCTGCAGTTAAGATGACACGTACGTCTACCTAGCTTGTTGATTCACTATGTTGGAGTATTTACAGAAAGCTGTGAACATAATGTAATCGTCTTCTCCGAAGAACGGTGAGGGCTGCTCTAAGCAGTTGCGGTCCCATTGTCATTTGCCGATTTGCCACTTTCAGCCAATGGCATCATCTTCGCTGAACTGCACAGATGAAATCTACGAAAGAAGGAGATCCTAGATTTGCACAAAACGAAGAAGCTCATAATAGACGTTGCTTTAATAATGTTATTCACGTTTTTATCAAACGTAAATAGTTGATTGCCTGTAAGCGCTACCGGGGGGTGGTTAACAAGTAGTCATTATATGAGACATTATCCTTTTGTGACAGCCCCGATTTTCTACGAAACATAATATAAATTCGTAATAAAAGTCAGCTTTGACTTCCCTCGTTCACTCTGTGGTCAAGGAAATCATCGATATAAATAAACATCAGCTTTGTAGGTCACTGTTGTGTCGTCTATGCATCCATAAGTTTGATGCATCTAGCTCAAAAAGGCCTTGTCTGGCAGCGTACTACATGCACTTCATTAAAAGAGATAATCGCTGATCGTTTGGCAGTTCGCTGTTCGGGCTGCCGAAAAACCACGCTCGTTTTCAGTAGTCTCACAAGGATTCTACAGAATTTAGATCTGCCAAGTCGCTCATTACGTATTAGAAACTTTGGTCCATGTTAGGGATTAATCCCCTATCGGAGTAATATAGTGGACTTAACGTTTTCGATCGTAATGATCTAGCGTATCGCACAACCTTTAAACGGGGCAAAATAGATTTCTGTCGTTGTTCAAACAGTTTTATGAAATAGTTTATCATTGATGCATCTTATTGGGGCCTCACGACCTTATTGTTCAATTCTCATTACGAACTTGTTACTAAACAAATATCGCATATGATAGGGCTATATAACATCTATTCAGAGTTGTTAGCTGTTGCAGTATGTCAAGGTGTACATTAAACTCTGCCAATCAAGCAACTTTAGGCTGCCGATCGCCTAGAAACCTCGTTATAGCGGCTATGACTGTCGTCATTTTAGTACGTTCAAACTCAATAGACCCTTTTTCGAACGCGTCTGCCACAATACACTTCGATACGAGTTATTAACTTTACGAAAAAGTTTATCAAGATAGTTCGGTATTTTGTTTTCTGCGTGTCGTAGCGGTTTCGCTAAGTTTTATGGTCTTGCCAAAAGATATAGGGACATTCGTTCACAGGACTTGGTCATGGTTTATCGAGCACGTTGATGAGTTCCTCCTATCGATATTTGCATCTGTTCTGGAGATTTGATTATTAAAAGGGGCTCGAATACAGCGATGGGCGTATTAAATGCATAAGAAATATCATTAGCGGCAAACGTTTCGCCATTAGTACTTTAAGTAAGGAACAATCTGTCTAGCTCAATAGTGTGAAAAGTGTACCTAAGGCCCTCAAGAGCCTTACAGTGTTTCTGTTACCAAACAAACACGAAATTCTAAATCAGTCCATAGGTTTATTTGACATGCGTTTAGAGTCTTCGCTCTACTGTGGGTCTTCCACGAACCGCTCGAAACTTTTAGCTTCTATTGGCAACTACATGTAGCATTGATTCCGAATAAATTAACGGGTACACTTTCCGCAATAGCTAGAGTCATCATTGGGATTCCAAAATACATGGCCAAGTTATGACGATGTAATTTTTTTCGTAGAGAGAACTGCCTTCACTAAAAAGTTGTCCGTTGGTGGCTATTGAATGAGGCGAACCTAATTACCACCATTTGTATACCTATCATTCAAATTAAGCAGTTAGATCAACACTTGTGGAAATAGTACATTCTACTACAGTACCTACTGAGAGAATCAATAGGAAGGTAAACACGAGTTGATGAGCTTTCAGTGCTCTTGAATCGGTGCATTTATTATTTGCAGGTCTGTCCTTGCCGGGCTAGTCATGCTGGCAACTGCTTTGGTGGAATCCCTTGCAGACAAATCATGTCTCCCGAAAAATGTGTTACTTCCACTGGGGTGTCGCTGTTACAGTGGCCCTCGGATAACCTGCAAGGGAGCAAAAGATAGCTCCACCGTCGACCAGATTGTGAAAACAATTGGAAACGTAGCTCTCAAGGTACACGACTAACCGAATCAAGTACTATTTAGCTGGAGTTGGACCTCGTATACAGTGATAGACACTCGTAGAAAATCTGCGCCATATAATAATGAAGAAACATATGGGCGGACTTTAAAACCGTAAAGCTTAGTATGATTAGGACGAACTCCGGCTTTATAGCACCGCTCGGCAAGGACCTTCTCTTCCTTGAAGCCTATTTTGCATGCACCTCATTATGTGATTCTAAATGTTTTTCCATGATGTCTTGAATAGCTAGATGTAAATATTTAATACGTATTTTATCGAGTGACATAAATGAAATACCCTAATTTTATCGTAACGCTGCGCCTATTAGGTACTCCAAAAGAGGTTTGAATAGCGTTTTGGAAGACATTAACAATGATCTGAATACAGGAGCTGAATTTGAGTGAGGCGACGCTAACATCCCTCCCGACATCGGTCTGCGAGGTCAACGTTGAAGAATTAGTTTTGAGCCACTCAAAACTAAGGAGTTTGGGTCGTCTGACCAACTGTAATTTCTCCAGCTTCTCATTAGATAACACGACCATCGAAAAAGCCGACAAAATGTTTCGTTCGCTTAGGTTGGTATCAGATGTTAATATCCGCTAAGTCGACGATATTGATAATAACATCTTACTTTAAGTACAACATATTAACATGCTATCCTAACCGGGCTATGCACAATTTGTTCACAGAGAAGTACCAGCCTTAATGCAATTGTCATTCCTACGCATGGAACTGGATCTGAACGACATTGGCCAACTCTCGCATCTATTGCAGCTGAACTTCTATAAATGCAATTTCACACTTGGTAAGCAACTAACATATGCTTCTAATGCAAAAACTTACTCTACGTTGATATACTTATATATTAAAAAACTATTCTCTGTCAGGTAACTACTTGCGTCCGCTGAACAGTTTGATCGAGCTACAAATTGTCGAAAGCAACATTAAGAGCATTATGCTTAAAAGAGACCAGTTGCCAGACTCACCCGACGAACTAAAACTGCTCAGAATTATGTAAGTTATTTTTTTTCGAAGTTTTGTTGTTATAATTATTACGCTTGTTCAGTGCCCTGCAATTTGTGCTAAATACAATTCTGTTAATAGTAGTTCATTGTAACAGCTAGGGAAGCCGGCCACTTCAAATCAGATCGTACGCTTTATCCAGTTTTAGTTTTTAAATGAGTAATGAGATTACGTTTTACTGAGGAGTGCGACGTTCTAATGAACGAAGATCACTACGGTCTATCCAAGCTTTATGGTGTCGAAACAGGACACAGCCTGCTGTTTCTATTTGCAGAAAAATCGCTATATTGACCACATAATTAACATAACAATGAAAAAAGTACTTTTTATCAAAATGAGTTTCATTTTTTTTTAAAGCTTCTTGGTGTCACTTTGCACAGGGATACGGGATCTTAGTACGAAGACCTTAGTCATGTGTCTGTATATTAGAAACTCAGGAGTGCTTCACATATGCTGAATGCATCTAAGTCCTGTTCAGTTTGAAACCTCGGAAAGTACATTACAGTTGAGGAGTATTCTAAAGGACAGACACAGAAACTACTAACGATTATTAGCGCAGAATATAGCGCTTGAAAACCAAGTGTAGTACCAAGCGTCGGCGGGCTACTGAATAAAAGGACAGTCGTACGCTACATAATGTGACACTGAGCATGCTTACATCTATAAAAAAAAAAAATACCATTTTTTGGATTCCTCGCTGCTATGCGTTGCTAGCATCTTGTGCTTATGAGCAACTACTCGCTGATGACATATTAAGAACTAATGCAGTCAGCGGATATTCTTAAGCTTCCAAATATCAACCTATGTAAACACACATTTTATCTTCTTTGTCTGCTCGATAAGATGTACATCTCTTGCACTGAAAGTTTAGCAGATATATAGCACGAACGATAACCATACGTTGCATTTTCAGAGGACTGGGTCTCCATTCACTGCCTGAAAATTTACTAATGGGCATGACATTACTGCAGAAACTGGACATTTCGAAGAACCATCTTGTCGATTTGCAAGAATCAGGGTTCATCTCCTTCCATGGAACACTTATAATGCAAGGTCTGTAAATCAATGTTAAAAATGTGCAAACGTATTAAGGATGTTTTTTTTTGGCGGAGAGTCTCTCCTTTTGAGTAGCGCACAAAAATCATGTTCCAAGGGTATTTGAACGTGCGACGGATGCCACCTTTGCCAATCTATTACACTTGGCAACAAAATTTGTTAATCTTTCTCTCTCTCTCTCTCTAACTTATCCCCATTCTCTCGCCCCTTCACTCCCTTTTATACTTTCTCACGAGACTGTGATACACCGTATTTACATTGGTAATTCATCTTTGGTACACACAAAAATTCACATTTTTACTAGTCACCGCCACAAAACTACGAACCGACGATGGCGACGCCGCTTTCTTTTACAGTGAAACGTAGCTCTCATGAAGCTAAGTGCCTTCACTGGCTCAGCAAGAGTAGGAGACTATTCAGTGCCTTTTGAATACAATGTCTAATCTTAGATTCGATTAGCTGCAAATAGCCATGTTGATGTTTCGATGGGAAAGTAACATGGCATACGACGATTAAGATTAACTCTGTTCTAGGTAATCCATGGCACTGCGATGATCTTGTGTGGTTACGGCGCCGAGCGGCAGCTGGATCAATCCGACTCTTTAACTCGGGTCGGGTTGCATGCGCCACCCCACCTGGCACTCACTTCGACCAGATACAGGTACGTATGTGCTTAAGGTGTTAGGACGGTATAAGAGAACCTAAGGAATTTGGGCTCCGGACAAGTACGTTGTAACTACAAGCGAGAATATCAGAAAGATCTCATTATCAATTATTCTATACTTAGGACAACCTGTCTAGATCTTTATAAACATTATTCTTGTCCAGTCTGTTTTTAGGAAAATCTTGGGCATCGTCTCTTACTTCCTGACCGATTCTCTATTTAGTCCTTTTGGCGCTTGTTTCATCTTACTTTGTATATACACGTAAATGTTCCAAGTACAAATCTATAAATTGGTTCATACAAATTCTAAAGTTGCACTCAATGCAAAATTGTGCAGCTATCCTTTTCAATGGGCTGTTTTTTTTCTGTGATCATCAATTGTAGCTACCGAAAGAGTCTCAGGAGGAAAAATTATGGAAATCGCCACTCCACCACATGGCGCTTACTAACCGAGGAGACTTTGGATTCCCTATAACGCTGTGCTTCGTCGTCGCAGCTATAGCAGCACTTGGTTTACTCGGACGGGTGGCTATAAAAAAGAGACAAACAATAATCGATATGAATTCTAATTCACTCTGCGTGACAGAGAAAAACAACATTGCCAGCAGCATGGAGTCGGTTCAAAGTGATACGGGCCGACTTCTCTAAATATACGAGCGGACGTTGAAACGCGTGATATGCCCAAGTTTGCTCGTCCTATACACACATGCCGTAAACGTGTCGCAGACGCCGCCTTGTCATTAGTAGCAAACAGAAGCATTTATCCTCACTCCTGTAAACAACACGTGTGTTACAATAAAGCATTAATATAAAAAAAAAATTAGCATTCACATTTATGTTAACGTGCACGACGAATTTGCTCATCTAGTCCTCGACTTAATTCAGAGTGCGTTTAGGATCAAACGTGCTGAACGAAATGCCAGGCAACGTTCAGCTTCCGAAAGTTGCAGCTTGTCCTCGTACCGCTGTTGGTCGTAAGCTATGTATCGTTGTTGTCTAAAATTAGTGTACGTTATCATTATTTTGTTATCGTTCCATAATACTAGATGCAGCAAAATCGCAAATTCGTTTGAAATAGGCGAGACGCAATTCTCCAAAACACGGGGAGCAATGGCGTTTACTTCAACAATACTGAACCGTCTTCGAAGTGCTACCTGTGCATTTGGGTTAACACAAACTATAAAATCTCTTATTGTGTTCTACGGTGCAGAGAGGATGTCATATCTCGCAATGAGTACGACGAAGAAAAGGAGAAGGATAATGCGTAAAGATCATTGATGGTTCGCAATAACGCGTGATCATTCAATTGTGCTTAGTTTTTTTATGACAGTAACTAGCACTTCTTGTAACATTTATAGACTTTTTTTTATGTAACGTGAATCTGTTCAAAATAGTTGGCTTGCCGCAAAGGCGTCCCGCCAGGGTCACTTTGTACCAGGCCAAGCATTTAACTTATGCATGCTGTGTATCATATGGTCTATATGTATCATATGGGCGACACCTATAAACGAATGTTGTACGGAACAGAATTGTATTGACAGATTTAGCGCAGATATTGGATAATCTTTCGGTGGTAAGCAGGCGTACAGTTGTAGATAAAATTGAAGTATTCGACTACATTGGGTACTCATTTAGTGTGGTCTTAACAAAAACATTACAAAAAAATGTATTACATACAAGTTTCGTACAAACTTAAAAACATTGCATATTTATTATAATTAGACATATAAATTCGGAAATCGGACCCTAAGACTGCCCTTTTCCTCTTAAATACTCTGTCCCTATCCCGTACACCGACCACTCAGTCAGTTCCAGTCATGAGGCAGTAAGTGCAATTATAATTAACACCAACCGTGATTGTCAAAGTATATAGCTTTAGTAAGGAACCGTAGCTTCATGTGATATAAAGAATTATTAGATAGGAAGGGTCATGACCTGCTCATGACGGTTTCGCAAACGATGGACGTTGAAAAATAAATAAACTCGTAGCAACTCCTTGATTGCCTTACTACGAAGCGCTCTCGTATTGTTGGGGTAATCACTGTAGTGACGTTAGGCAGAAAACTTAGAACAGGGCTCTAGGAGAAGATGGCCCAGTTCTACATCAAGTTATGAACCATATTGAAATCCTCGCAGCAGCCTTTAGAAAATTAAAGAAAAGTAAAGAAAAGTTCCCGCTCAATTTCATTGTTAACATTTCACCATTGAATAATAAATAATCAAAAATCTCAAGAAAGTTTAGATATTCTTGAATAATTAACAAAATCAGTCATTTTAATTTCCTCCGTAATTATATAAATTTCGATGCGACAGCTCTAGCTGCTTGGTCGAAGTAAACAATATCTATGTTTTTCAGTTGACTAAGATTGCTTTTATTGATTGCTGAATTATGTTACGCTGACGACTCATCTCATCGAATTTTATATTACCCATTCAATTCCAGACGACCTCATTCCTTTATAAATTCGCGTCGTTTATTATCACCTCATAAAGCGCCAACCATAGGAGAACACTTACCGATTCAATATAGTGTCTGCTAAATATTTAACCCAGAATCCTGTTGGATCGCCAACGATAATTAATGGATATAACCAACAATAATTAGAGGATACCACCTCGGTCATGATATAACTTAGTTCTCGGAAGGAATAATGCTCTACCATCGTACATTCTATCAGTCACAGGACATATCAGATTCTTAAGCTGTAAAGAGTGTTACCTTCTTGTTTTTACTGCAAGAGGTTCAAAAAGGTCCTCTAGGACAAGGCAGGATTAAGCTACAATTACTACTAGGATGTTTCTTGCCGTAGAACGAATGAATACTCCTCCGAAGTTGTTGTTAAATATTTACACACACCACATTTGCTATTTTTATTACCATCGCCTTGATCATTCGTCGCGTCCCTTTAGATCATCATCGTCATCGTCATTACCGTTACATCAGTTTTCATTGCTACTTCGATCCTTTGTTGTTATGTACATTCTTCGCGTCATTTGCTACACGTCTGCTATCGTGTTAACGACACCTGCGTCCATGTTGATCATACGTTATGAGATATCTATGTACATAGACCACAGTATAATCGACTGCAGTAAGGACTAATAGATATTGTTTAAAAAAAAAAATGTGATACAATATTTGTTTGCCGTCGTGTGTGTCATATATGTATGTGCTACAGTGTGAAGCATGTATTGTCGTTCCGACTAGAACGTAATTAACGTGTTAATACGAGCATATAATAACTATTTTCAGCAAGCAAATGACATGTTGGCGGGTTATCTTGGGTTCGATCCAAAATTCACTTGCATCTAGCTCTGTTTCGCGACGGGACTCCTCTGTACAATGTGGTGCTTGAAACTATACAACTTCAACACTTTTTCGGAGTACGTATTTTCTAATAGATATAGCTCATCACTGTATCGTGCAAGACACCGCTTAGTGTCAGTCAGAGCTGTGATCTATCACGCAGGGTGTACGCGAAAATACACTCAAACACCATTAAAAAATAATGAAAAACAGTCACTGCTAATACGAAAGGTCGTTAAATCGACGGCAGAGCGGAGCTTCGCTACACTCTAGGCGTATAGCAACGGACAACGAAGACCCTCTTAAAAATTCATTACCGCATCGTCCCTGCTATATATTCGAGTACACAGAGTGTAATTTTCACCCGTGGAACCAGCATTCTAAACAATGGTCAGTAAAAAGCATGAATGTCTACAGTGTACGTAGATAACATTGTCTGCCAACAAAAGCTGCTCCGTCAACTGATACAATCGAAACGGACGTTTAACATCCCGCTTGGTCAGATTAGCCGAGGGTTAACCTAGGAAGCTGCATCAATATTAGATCTCGAGGTCCTCTTAGGACATACGATCTAATTCGGGCGGCGACGTCCAGGTCGAAGGTTATGGCTCCATTTTGTCATCGTCCCGATCCTTGTTTGCTTTTGCTACGAATTTCCACTATTCTGCCGCACTCTGATCGTAACTGGCCGACCCTGAAATTTTGTGAAGATAATACGGAATAAATAATACCAGTTATTAATACAAGATATCAGTACGGAATTAAATGTTATCTCTCATTACAATCATTCTAGTACAGCATTCTAATTTGGTCAATGCGAGTTTAAGCATGGTCTGTATTTCAAAACAACATGTTAAACTCATACCCATGTTTGTCTTATAATGTGTGAACTTGTGTAAATTAGAAAAAAAAAGTTATTTAGAATTTTATTACAGCAGAATAACGTTTTGAAGCGATATTACCGAGTTTAAGTGCTCATCGTTGTAAGTGTTCAGCTACCAACGCATACCAGCAATAGTACAACGGTACGGTTTTCTATCGCATTTATAAGGAATTCCTTTATAAATAATCTTAAATCTCACTGAAAACTGCATAAACTGCAGACGTTATAATACCAACCCATTTGCAATAGCGGAAATGGCCTTGATTGAGGTTAGAAGCTACCATTTATTATCTGGAGTCGTAAACGCTGTCACAAGGTACCTCCACACTGCTTGGCTTATTGTGTTGCTGAAGGGTGGCTAACGGTAACCTGAGATATTAATTATATAAATATTAATTAAAAATACAATTGATGATTAGGTATTACAAAAATCACAGTGTATATATAGAGTACTGGTATATATTTCGACTGCGTGCGAAAATTATACTGCTTGAAACTTTTCAGTCCTTAGTAGGACCTAGAAGAAAATACTGTTTATTATATACAAACAAAGAAAGCGTTGACCTATAGTAGAATCCCAACAGACCGTTAAAAAAGTAGGTTAAGAAATGTGTTGGTGTACTCTTTAACAGCATCTGCTGTTCTGCTTTTCTTTCCACTTAAAGGCTGATTCTTTTTCTTTTCACTGCAATAGGTCTGACTGTTTTTCCGACAGTAGTTTTACGAACCGTGGGGAGTTGGACGTCGAATGTCGACGGACTGTTTCATAATCAGCTTCGCAGAGGATTCTGTTCTCATGTAAAAAAAATCGATCCCCAACGCAAAACCTGAAACACGATAATTACATCACAGAAATCTTCGGGTCAGTAAGCTTGACGCTAAGTGTCAAAGAGTATTCACAAGTAAAGGCATTCGCCGGTGTCATTCATAATCGGGATCCTTATGATTGGGTATAATCGAATTATCTTCAGGGCTAATTCCGGCATCGTGTCTTGCTCCTACCTGTACAGAAGTTACTTTAAATAATAATATTTCGATTTAAACACTAAAATTATTCCATTTTTAGCTATATCGCTGAGCCGTTGCTTTAAATAATTCTTCACATGGATATAGGTTATATCATAAACGTCTTCGTACGATTACGAGTTGAAATGGCGGTTATGACATGTTAGAACATACGAACTGCTACTATAACCCTTACTTCGAGAAATTAATAAAGTAGATGTCGTGAATTTTGCTTCTTTAGTTCACTTTCAGCCAAATGAGATGAACATGAGGCAGTAAAGGAACAGTTGCTGCTGTTGCTGCCGTTTTGTTGTCAGCGATTGTTGTTGTTACTGCTGCTGCTGTTGTCAGCAGCGTCTCCTTTGTTGCCGTCGCATTTAGCCGAATAATTAGAAAATTTCCTCTACACTAACGACTCCCTAACGAGGACTCCTCTATATTTTTGCAATGCTTCCGTTCATTGGGTCATAGGCTTTCAACCAATCGACCGACCGACCGACCGACCGACCGACCGACCAACCAACTGCCAGCGGCGAGCCACGAAGCAGAATAACGAAAAGAAGTCGAAGCAGCGAGAGCTGGTGAAGACGCCAGGCAAAAAAAGGAAACTCGACTGGGAACAAGGGCCAGGGTTTCCATCTACTATGTGTCCTTCTTTCGTCATTGTACTAATTAATCATACGGCAAAGACGAAAAGAACTCTCACAGTACCCTCTACACTTGACTCTTCGACCGGGCCGAGGACGGAGCTTCAGGAGCTGAACGGGACGTCTGTGGTATGGGGACACTCGCTGCTCGTTTGCTTCGGCTAGGACGACGAAGAAACCTGCAGAGTTCGCTCGGTACATCAAGAGACAGAAACCCAAGCGGTCCTTGATCGACCAACAGGGGCCATTCTGGGGCCTGGCTGCCGTCTATCGGGAGCAGTTCATCGGGAGAGCAAAATGGAGACAGAGAGGGATGAGGAAATTGCAGAGCCATGGGGGAGAGATGTTCGACCCTCTTTCTTTCTTTCTTTCTTTCTTACCTCCTTAATTAATATCATATCGAAGCTGGCAGCCTAAGCAAAACAAGATAGTTAATTACATGAAACACTACGAACTTCACGATTCGAGTGCGCCATCATTACTGCTATATGATGATAGTGATAGTTATTATTATCGTACCTTCAGCTATCACGATTCCTAGTAATCTGTTTGGTTCGTGACGTGCACAATTAGCGATAACAATGAGATATAATTTTACGTCTAAAGTTGAGGGTTAGTCCGAAGTTTCTTTTAAGTTATCGGGACCGACCTGCTGCCGCTACTCAACAAGCTGATGCGTGTGAATAATATACGACCATCCTTTTTTACAAATACCCAGTCGCTGGATTCTTTTAATTAATTTTTCGCGCATGATCCGTGCGTGTGTCTACATACCGGATTCTACGTTATGAGCTTTCTTCGTCTAACCAGAAACGAGTTTGGAGCTTGGTCGACTGAAAACTAAGATCTGAACCCTGAAGGTCTGAAGTTTTTTACAATCATATCGTAAAATTATTGACTTCGTTATTCATTACGACTGCCTTTGCAGATTCTGTGTTTTTGGTAAGCCTACTGCGTCCGGCCATTCATTGTCCATAATTAAAATACCCCTATATTAGGTCGTAGTCATTAAAAAATGTACCTAAATAGGTATTAGATAGCCCGAAAAAATGAACGAGGTGGGCATTATGAGCAGGCCGATATTTTCAAAGAAATTTTCAACTGCTTCCTGGAGCATGCAAACAAATTACATAGAGCACCATATTTAACCCTATGTACGAAAATGCAAAATACAATTTCGGATAGAGTTTGAAGAACTAAGACGCTTTTACATAGGAATATATAAATCTTTTTGATAAATCTTCTATATCTTCTAAATTGATAAAAATACCCAAAAAAGCAACCTTTGCTCGGGTTTACATTAAAGGCTATGGGAAGGTTTTTTATATTTTCAAAGTAAGGCTAACTTCTTTCAGGCATGTCTTGTTTCCATCATTGAACTTCATCACGGCCAAGTATACCTGCAGATATCTCTTTAAGATGAGGTTTCCATATCTACGTTATATAGCCTACTGGCCGTTCAGAAGCATATAGTAGATTATATACGACTAACTCATGCTACTAGGTGTATATTAAGCATTTTTTCACACAAACAAAACGCTAAAGTACGCGGCTGGCCTATAAAACTAAAACGAAAGCGGCTTACCTGTGGTTGCAATGTTGACAGGCGAAACAGTCAAGGTGGTACACGTTACCCTTTACCCGCATCACCATTTCGAATGCTGGAATTCCCTTTTCACAGGCACAGCAGTGACCTGTAGCTCCAAACAACCTAAGTGAATGGCCAAAACAGTACAAGTCACAAATATCTTAATTAATCACTTCTTGCCCGTGGCACGCTGGCAATAACCAGTCAACGCCGGAACATTGTATTTAGAACACTTCCTCAAATGCTTATATGCGCGTCCTGTTAGCATAGAAAATAAAGATCAAGCTTGATGCAAATTTCCTATATGCGAAGTTAACGGCTATCATCTGGTACCGTTACCTCGTCCAAGAACAGAACCGAATCTAGCGATTCAATAGGAGAATACTATAAGTTCGTTTAGCCTGTATTTTGTCAATACATCTCCGAAGGGAATCGAACGTTGGAGGAATGGGGAAAAGGGAATGGAAATCAAACCTGCTGGCTCGAACAGTGACCTTGGAAATGTGACTAATTAGACACGAAATCTGCACGAGCCTATAATGGATACTCACCGTAAATAGTCCCTTTTGCAGAGAATCAGATTGCTTTTCGTGTATAACGTACTTCCTACCTCTCCTAGCCGGCATTCGCAGCAGGCGCATTTTAGGCAGTCTTCATGCCAAAATTGCTCTAAAGCTCTTAGAAGGTACCTGAGGGTATCGGAAATACAAAACATTAACTCAGAATAACTACTAGGTGTTATTCTGGGTTAAAAACTGGGTTAATACAATTGATTGAATTATTTGCTTCTATTGCGCAGTAGGTTATTAATCGATCATTACTTCCGTTAACTGCTTACTACAGATCCAAGAGCAGGCTGATCAACGGAAGTGATCTGCTCAGACCATGGCAACGAATCTGCAAACTATTCTCTGACAGCTCTATACGCGTATATAGGTGAAGATTAGCATAAAAAAAAAAAAAAAAAATTGCTATGAACTATTATGTTATGAACATAGACTATTTTTACCTTTCTCTAATCGGATTTTGACAACCCGTACACCGAAGTTCATCGCCTGAAATACAGAGCCAAGAGATTAGCAGCGACGTCAGAATAATCTTTTTTATATTACATTACTTTTATACACATGCTTCATATTTAAGACTTCGCATGCCTTCAGGTGCCTTGTCTTATATAAACAAGTGTAAGCATCATGTAAATGAAAGCTATAAAAGTTTATAAATATATATATATATATAATAAGGACACAATTTCCAACAAGTAACAGAGAGTCTTTAACGAGGATTGCTACAGGGTGTTTCGCCTAAATATTGAAACACTGAATCAGCTCATGCGAAAACATTGGGCAAAAGCCATCGCATAACCAGGCGCATTATATTTTGTTCCGTGACATGTATGTAATGTTTATATAGACAGTCGCTACTAACATGTATCTGTAGATCAGAAAAAATTCGCTTCTACGAAGACTCACTTACCCGACGGCGCACCGAACGTCGTTCCCGTCCCAACCCCGCTCATCTGATCGATGCTACCGTTCGTACTCCTTTTGGTGAAGAGCGTCACGGCAGTGCTTGCAGATCCCCTGAAGCTGGACACTGAGACGCTCCGTGCCTCCAAGCGACAAACTTCCATAGACGACTGAAAGCCGGGGCGCGCTAAATCGCGGCGCCACCAGATTTTAGCACCAGTCTCGCCTCCAGGAGACCCCGGCACCGGTGGCGATGCGCCTATCAGTAGACCAACTGTTCCGTTTTCCGCACAAGCGATTTCCGGCTTTCCGAATATTTTTCAAGATCTTCGTCTACTTGGCTTCAGGCTCACCTTGTTCGGACCTTCCTTCTCGCTCTCTTTTTTTCTCTATAATCTTTGGTCCGCTTCTGGAGTGTTTCGATACGACGGTAGCCGATCTAAGCAATGATATCCTCCTTTTCGTAAGACGATCCGACCTGGAGATGTGGAGATATATTTATAAGTGGATAGATCCAGTTCGTCTCGAACAGTTATCTGTTATGATATTGATAATGTATGAGCTACTGCAGTGGAATCCCGTATGGTCACTTATAGATCTTGATATCGACTGATGCCCAGGCGGTGTTTTAGCCGCCTATTTAAGTACGTGTTCCCGGACAGCCCCTAAGAGGATAACTATTCACTCCGTTTGGTTTGGTCGTACGAGCTGCTTGCAGACGACCACCCGCCTAATCTATAAAATCAACGTAAATAACAAAAGGAAGTATTGATGCAGATTTATATAGTTGGTATTACTGTACCACTAATTGTAACAATAGCTTTAATCAAGAACACTTAAGAAAATAAAAAATTGCTATTTACATACTGTAGATTTGAAAAAAATTACCAGCGATATCCGATAGTTGTGAACGCGCAGGGAGCGGACTAAAACGCTATCGCTATATGGGAGCATGCATATCTAGCTTCCTCTGAATCTGAATTTGTTTCGGATTCGGCTCTCGTTTAACATAACAGTATCGATGAATCGACTAGACGCTGAGTATAAAGGCGACGATCACTATGATTATATTAATTTATGTCAAAATACAAATATCAAGGGAAAAGGAACATAAATGTCTTCGACTATTAGGATCCCCTCGGCTACATATGATCCTCACTTGGCTCCTGTTTGTTTTTGCTATTTACGAAAAACACTTTCTTGTTTACATTTTTTTTTATTAAATTACAAATATAGATAGTTGCTAGTTATAAACAAAAACAACAGTACCGTGATGAATATCAAGACATCAACAGCAACCCTCGTTAGCACTCATCCCAGCGGCCGTGGAAATCGTCGTTCAGCATGAAGTTAAAGCGAAGTCGACATGAATCAATATGACAAGAGTTGGACAAGGAGCTCCGAAGTAGCCGCATCGGTTGCCGAGACACGTCACCAACTAATGGCACGTACACAGGTCCAAAAAGGCCAAGAAGCATCGGTTACATGGGCGTCCGAGGAAAGAATCCAGCCAACGACGATGTAAACGCGATTGCAAAATGCTCGCGCAAATGCTTTCTGCTAAAAATGATCGCCCTGGATTGAGCAGCTAAGAACAATGAGTGGAAAAAAGGGGCAAACTGGAGGTAAAAAAGAAATCTAGAAAACAAAATAACGTCAGCTAAACACCAACCAAATGCTGAGAAATTTATCGAAGTACGCGTTCGCGCATAATGTTCAAAATAGCATGAAGAGTCGGGTGCAAATCGGTGCGACGTGAAGAAAATACAATAGAAGCATAGATACAGAGTAACAAAGACGAATTCCGCCCGGTGTCAGCAGTCAATAGGCTTTTGATGAAGTCATTACAACATGAAACGAGGTAAATACGCCTATGCAGGCGGGTGGGAGGGCAGCCAGCCAGCCAGCCAGCAGGGCAAGCAGGGAGAGAAAAACGTACAAAGCCAACTTGCACAGTTTTGGTGTGACTTATACTTTACCGGTATGTCGAAGGTTATTTAGGAGAATTTCTGCAAATGTGGAGTAATTTGAAATACCCGAACAATGGAATAAAGCCGAAAACCCAAAGCAGAACGAGTAGTTGAGATTCTGGCAGGGAACAAAAAGCTCCAAGCTCTCGTTGGAAAGTTGCAGATACATCCCCTTGCCCGTGTAGCGGATCTCAGGAGAGCCGACGTGAAATGACAGCGACTGCGATTCCAGGACGGAAGACACAACATGAACACGCAGTGTAACGAAAGACAAAATCATATATTGATACACACAAAGAGAGCGATGAAAGAAATTTCCTTCAACGAAAGTCTTGCAGCGTAGCCTATCAACAAGATGGCCCTCAACAAGAAAAGGTGCATCTCGATCTAACAAGGGGTGACCCCCTAGCAACCACGGCAGTAGCATAGCTTCGAAGACAACTGAAGATCTTCGGGTTGTTGTAGTACGGTCACTGAAAACAGCTAACGTACTGCTACCAAAAGTAATGCAATTTACATAAAGTACCTGAATGCTACAGATGATTACATATATAAGGAAGAGGATTTGAAAAATAAGTTTGCCAACTCTACTAGACATATAAAATGTATGAGGAGCGAATTATATTGAATATAATCAATTCAGTCCTGTCGTGTGCTCAGACCCTTTATCCCTACAAACGAAGCTATATCTCTAAAAAAAAACCACCGGCAGGCGTCAAGAAGCATTTATTTCTTAAAGTTGGTTGCCGTTTTCCAAGTAGAGACTCAGCTAGGAGCTGTCATATATACTTATGAAGCACGAAGATCTTGACCAGGTAACGCATAATGGCCAACATGATCTTTCACATCTGGATTATTCGAGGAAGAAATTCGGCGCTCCAAATCGACAGAATGAACCGTTGGGCCGGCGTATGATGAGCTGGAGATAACATACACAGCCTTTGCAATATTTTTTAAAGGTTGGATAAGTAATATAAGAACATTGAGGACGCGAGGGAATAACAAGTCTTATTCTGTCTGACTATAGCGCTCTTTATTTTTGTTTCCGACTCATCGAGTAGATCGCAGAGGCGGACGACTCATTACGAGAATACTCAAAAGCATTTTATTGTATACATTTGTGTACACTAAGAAACTGGGAAGCAGCGAGCCCTGATCCCAAATATAAAGACAAATTCTACTTAAAAATATGTGCGGAATACATGCTTGACAAGCCCGTATATTCCTAGTGCTAATTTTACTAATTACTGTGTCTTAATTTTTCATTTGTTTGTTCCTTTCAATAAGATCATATAATAGTTCAATGAGATTTTTGTTAGGTTAACAAAGCATAATTAATAATACTGACAATAGTCATGTCCCCGCGTCCTTTAGTGCTATATTTTATGTATTCTTGGTCCTCTATTTGATCTAATACATTTTGATAATTATATAAACCTTGTATTATTCAGATTCCGTGAAATTTTCCGCGGAAGTTCTTTTCGGCTAGCTTATAGATCGTTTGTCCCGAAGACTGCTCCGACGTTCAGATCTCCCCGACGTGAGATAGACGCAAGTTTGTAAGTCATATGCACTTACACACTGGGGTAGTTGCACGTATCCTTCTACTAATTCGCAATTTGTCTTGCGTAAACGGGCCCTATACATCTTTGCACCAACACGCATTTCAACCACCTCCTAGATGGCGGAACAAACGAGGCTTCGAAAGTGTCCAGTTTTTGCCTTGAGTTTATCCCCCTGCTTGCTCTTATTACGAATACCCTCATAGTATACACTAGAGATGGTAGTAGCAGTAGTCGTAATACTAGCAGCGGCACCTCTTGCCACTTTTACCCTTCGTTTGCCTTTTTCTTATTGTGCTTTAGCGCGAGCACGTGCGTCATACTGCCGCTGTTGTTGGTCCATGCGCAATTTTCCTGTTTGCCGCTTCGCGACACTCCCCAAAAAATTAATTAAGACGACCGACGAACCGACCACGCGCACGGACACAGCTAAAGAATAGCCCAGCTTTGTTGACATTGCCTGCTTGCCTTAACGACAGCTTTTGTGCCAGGCTAAGGTCCCCTTCCGCGCAGCAACGTGCGCGACAACGAGGTCCCTGAGTTTCGACAGCCTCCTTTCCCTCGCGTCTGCCATTCTCTTCGGATTCGACTTCCGAAATCATTTCTTCTACCCCTCAGCCTCCGTAGCATCAATAGAGCTTCCCAGCGCCTGCTGCCTCTTCGGACTGACGGGCCAGCGCCGTCGTTCCCAGCTAGTAGCTCAGCTCAGAGCCAGCTGTTGGGGTCCCGAAGCAACCCTCCGGATCTAGCAGCTCAGCCAGCACAGCCTCTTTCGGCTCCCGAACGCGCATTCGCTTGCGTTTACCGCCTCTACTTTTCCCCCTCCCCTTTCATCCTATTCTTGCGATAGTCTTACTCGTTTCCTATCTTCCATGGCCACCCTCCCAGTCACTCACATAATTAGATCCTTCCATTTTTCCATCCGTCCGTGTTCGTTCGTCTTCTTGAAACTCCGTCGTTTAGCAGTACTACACCGCACCACCAATGTTGTAATATTGTGTAGTATAGGAGCGAGCACACGGCTAGCCATAGCGCGGCATTGCAGCAGCTGTGACCCCCGTGTCTCGTGTTAGCGGCGGTAGATGCCCAGCAACCTGGGTTGTACTACTTAAGGGACGGCCAATCAAGAACGCCTTCTGGTTGGACTATTAAGAGAATAGAGCAGTGATACGATAGAAAATGATAGCCGAACTAGATGCGTAGATGGAAGCAGGAAAAGATGTTAGACGTAGGCGATATTTTCTAATTCATGTTAGGACACGCTAGGAAAGTACAAATAAGAGACGCCTTAGTTTAAGAAATACACATAATCGAGGAACGGTTCATTTGTTAAAATAAAAAAATTGCTAATAAGGTGGCAGTTGACTGCCCTGCGGATCAAGTTTTGATTTTGACTTTCATTAGCATAACCAAAATTTGCTATGACTTGTAGCACCAATATAGCCGTTATTGCATTTGATCGATGCTGTTACCACAACTGAGGGACTTGTTTATTAAGAATGAACCGTCACATTGTAGGAACTCCTCAATTAATTGGATTTGCATACGCCATCGTAGTCCAGCGCCGCACTGATGCAAGCAATCGCCGCAGAAGATCTAGGAACAGCCCATTTTCACCGCAGCTCATTCACGGGTTATTTCGATGCTACGTGGACTGTCCTGGGCCCACTAGTTTTCATAGCGCTATATCCCACATATTCACGCAGATGTGCGTCTACGTAATGGGAGCAATCACGCAAGGGTGACTAGTGACAGCTCTCAGACATCTAGCGAATGTGCCCAGACG